ACCCATAATCCTCATACTTCGAGAAAATTAGACTAAAAGCTACTTGAACATAGTTGCAGACCAGGTTCACCCATTCATGGCAACAGTTTTTCCTGCGGGGGATGGTGTATACCAACAGGATAATGCACCTTGTCATAAGGGTCAAATCGTCGAGGAACATTCCAATGACTTTCAAGTCATGTCTTGGCTCCCAAATTCACCTGACCTTAATCCGATAGAGCATTTGTGGTCCTACTTGGAAAACCAAATTCGTGCTGCCACGCTACCGCCTCGCAATGTGAGGGAATTGCTGGACCAGTTGGTGAGTGGCCATCAGAATTAAATAAAATATCAGAATTAAATAAAATAGTTTTTTCATTATGAAATTTTAAAAAAATCTTTTAAAAATTTTATAAAAAAAAGAAAGAAATGGAAAAAAAAATTTCATAAATGATATTTATTGAAATCAATGAAAATTCTTCCAATTCAAACATTCTTTCGGTTTTTAATTACTGCTTGGAGAATTAAAAAAAATCAAATTTTTTTAGTTCGTAAATATTGTTCTGATAAAAAAAATGAATTCTGATAGCCTGTGATAACTGTAAAAATAAAAATCTTTTCCGTTCATTAAGTCATAATGGATTGATAATTACCTTGATATGATGGTAGAACGGCGAGTAGTAGCCAAATCCACATCCCTTTTACCTCCTGTAAAATATTAACACAAGCCTTAAGACCAACAGAAAGTACATTATTTATTAAAAAGAAAAAATACCTTTTTCTTCAGGCCTATTCCTTTTTTTTTTAAATGTGTTATTGATCCAATCCAGAAAAAAGCTAAAAATTTAGCAGCAGCATAAATGCTGCTGCACTATCATAACCGATTCCCAAATGTTGCGTAAACGCAAAATTTCGTAGCTATGTAATAAAACCTTTTATGGACAAAAAGTGGAGAATTTGACTCAGATAAAACTGGTAATTCTTGTATAGACTACCACTTTAGTTTACAAAGAAAGAAAGTAAATGGGTATATATTCTCGCTTGGTTGGTAAACTGAGCTGGTGAATTTGTTCCAAAGAAAAACAAACACAAATGAAGTTTTCAATAAACAATTTTCTGAGAAATTAGATAAAAACTTCAACACTCATTTTTCCTAAAATGCTGTAAAGATTTTGAATAAAATTCAATTTTAATCTTTTTTTCCTGTGAAGAAACTAAACTTCACCAATCTTACAGACCAATAACCTAACTTCACCAATCCAATTGGTGATATCAATATCAGGGGAAGTTATCAAATGTCTTATCAGTGTAATCTTGTTGACAATTTATTCTATTTTATAATCAACATTAAGCAAGTAACCCATTTTTTGGGTTTAAGACTATCACAGCAATGCCAACTGCACCGGATTCGACAAAATATTTAAAAATAATGGTAGAGAACTGCAAACTAAAATTTTTTGTTGTTGTTGTTGTTCATTTACGTCATATTAGAGCTGCACAATGGGCTATTGGCGACGGTCTGGGAAGCATCCCGGAGGATGATCCGCAGACATGCCATCGCAATTTTGATCCTCTGCAGAGGGGATGGCACCCCCGCTTCGGTAGCCCGACGACCTGCACGCGAAGTCGAGCACTTTACGCTAGCACAGTTTAACGAGGACCAATACCGCACACCCTCGGTCCCTACGCAGACTGATCCAAGTGGTCACCTACCCGCACACTGATGCTTGACTTCGGTGATTTGCTAGGAACCGTGTCTTAGCGATCAGTCCACTGCGGGACAACTAAAATTTGCAGATTTCCAGTTAATTCTGCCAACAAATTGGAGGGTTCAACACAGCCTAAACGTATTTTTATTGAAATTATAAACATTTTCTGGCTTTTGCGCTCTATTTAGGCTTATAAACCTTTGTCAAATAGAAGGACGGTTATAGAAAAATAGAGAGAAGAACAGCACGAAGATATATCCAGGATAACAGCAGGATTCGAACCTGCCACCTCTACGGTTCACACTGCGTTTGGCGGCGATATCTCTCGGCCAGGGATGCCCCGCTACACTGTCTTCTTCTTTCTTTTGCTGTTTGAGCTGGGCCGCGCTGCATCATGTTTGTTACGATATTTGTGGTAAGGATTTTTGAGGTCAGCAGTCTATGTGGTGGCTGTTAATCCGCCGCATTGTAACAAAGTAGAATAGTATAGAAGCCTTTGAATTATTTAGAAGTTCTGGAGATTAAAAACCTTATAAATCGAATTTACTAAACCAAGAATCATACATTAAAGGATAACAACTCAAAAAGATGCCCTAAGCAAGATGGCTATCACTATTCAACTCCGTAGCATAGTAGTTTTAATTGTTAAATAAGGTAAAACATAAGAATGCAAGACCAAAACTGTCAACTGACCTGTCAAAGGAAATTTCAAAACTACATCCAACTCTCATTGGTAGATTCTTCAGAGTAAATCACCATTGCGATGTTTTGCATGGTTCCATCTGAAATTGTACAAATTATGGAGGACTGGTTTAGAAATGTTAACTTAGTAAAGTTTGGAAATTCATTGCAATATAATATATATATTTTTATATATATAATGCAGTGATCGGAAAAACTACATTACTTTTGTAATTTGCTACTACTACTTTTGTTTTAAATGTAGTGATTACAAACTACTTAGGAATTTAGTAATCGCTTCACTACTTTAACCCTTTCTAAGGCCACGGTAAGTATACTTACCATCAAATTTTTAAGTCCATGGTGAACTTTTTTTTAACTTTTAATTTATATTTCCATTTGCTAATATTTTCATCTTTCTTGAAGTGCGTTTGAATGAAATTGGTAACCATTTGTTAGTTTAGGAAAACGTATAAAAGTTATAAACTACATAATTCCTTTTGAAGTTTGTAGCATTTATGAAATTTATTTTATAAGTAACAAAAAATAATAGCCAATAAGTTCCTAATAGGTCGTGGTAAATATACTTACCACCAAAAAAAAATAATGGCATTAAAATTTAGATTAATTTTTAATAAGCTAAATGAGTATTTTTCTTATATCAATTACTTGTCTTATATCACTTTCAATTCTAAAAATACTTTAATTTACCTCTACTAGAAATAAATGGCCCATTAAAGGATTAAGGACACAAACTTTTCTGGAGAACTTAATTTACACCTTTGTTCAAAATGGAATGAATAAGAAATTGGCTTACATTAAATATAAGAAAATAATAAAAAAAATATTTATTCATGTTTACATGAATAAACGGAGCCAGTTTGCCAGCCAAATGAGCCAGTTTGCCAGCCAAATGAGCCAGTTTGTAATTCCAAAGCAATTTTTTCGAATTTATTTATTTTACCTAAAACTTTTTATGCCTTTCTCGACAGCGAATGTTTAATTTAAGAAATGGGGAATTAGCAAATACTTGAAACTTTTTAATTGTCTAATGCTCTTTTATTTCCTCTAAGAAGTTAAATACATCGAGAATACGTCCCCTTCCTTTGAAATAACATCAGTGTTTCCCTAGTGTATTCATTCGCATGTGAAAGTGTGACCAAAGGGATTAATTATCTATTTTTCGTAATGGCTAGTTTGAATATTAGTTGAAAGCAATTCTAAATATGTCATTACTAGAGCCCGGATTTTAATGACCTAAAAAATCTCAATTAATGCCCTTAAAAAATGCCCTTAAAAAGTGCGAAAAATGCCCTTTAAAATGCGAAAATTGCGCTAAAAATGCCTTATGGCGTGAATTAAATAAAAATATTAAACTAAAACAATGTTTTACTCTTTAAAATTATTATGAGTCATTTCAAAAAATATAAAGCAATGCAATACTGGTTCTACGTTCATTAAACTTTGAAAAATATGTTTTACATCCTAAAATAACAAAAAAAGGGAAAATATATTGACTCCAAAACATTTTCNAATATACTTACCACCAAAAAAAAATAATGGCATTAAAATTTAGATTAATTTTTAATAAGCTAAATGAGTATTTTTCTTATATCAATTACTTGTCTCATATCACTTTCAATTCTAAAAATACTTTAATTTACCTCTACTAGAACTTTTCTGGAGAACTTAATTTACACCTTTGTTCAAAATGGAATGAATAAGAAATTGGCTTACATTAAATATAAGAAAATAATAAAAAAAATATTTATTCATGTTTACATGAATAAACCGAGCCAGTTTGCCAGCCAAATGAGCCAGTTTGTAATTCCTAAGCAATTTTTTCGAATTTATTTATTTTACCTAAAATTTTTTATGCCTTTCTCGACAGCGAATGAAGAATTTAATTTAAGAAAGCGAAATTTAATTTAAGAAATGGGGAATTAGCAAATACTTGAAACTTTTTAATTGTTTAATGCTCTTTTATTTCCTCTAAGAAATTAAATACATCAAAAATACGTCCCCTTCCTTTGAAATAACATCAGTGTTTCCCGAGTGTATTCATTAGCATGTAAAAGTGTGACCAAAGGGATTAATTATCTATTTTTCGTAATGGCTAGTTTGAATATTACTTGAAAGCAATTCTAAATATGTCATTACCGTTACAGCAGGGTCATTTTTATTGCATTCATTGATGAGCCGACAAAGATTTATACCCATGAAATTCGAAAAATTAGTAGCGCTAGAACCGCGTTGCTTTACTAAACTAAAATTTACGTTAAAAATAGTTGTCAGAAATCGCTGCGAGCTACAGTTTTTTTTTTCCGTATCGCATTACTTACTACACACAACTGTAGTGGCTGCAGTAGTTTCACTACTTGTAGTATTATGAACTACTTCCGACCACTGAAATGTTGCTACAAAGGAAAATACCCCTTACAATAATCGCCTGTTCACCAAAATGTAATGGAATAAGGAAAGAAAAAATACTTTTAAGGAGGATGATCATTTTTAAAAAAATTTGTTTGAAAGTACGAAGTATTATTTGTGGTTTCCGTTCTTTTTATTCAGAGTTTTCTTTGGAATAAAAAATACAAATACAAATACAACCATTAATTTCACGATATTCAAATCGGACTTCTCTCATTAGTTACTAAATTCAATTCACTGAAAAAATTATGTGGAATTTTTTTTAAATTTTTTTCCGGGCATGCGTGGTATGAAATAATTATTTAAATGCACATATCTAACACAATTTTTAAAGAATTTTTTTAAAATTTTAAAATAATAATTATCTTTTAAATTACAAATTGCTTCGAAAATCGTGTTTAATTTTATAGAATATTTGTCAAGTTAAAGCAAAAAAAAATGAGAGAAAAAACATTTAGTTTTATTGAAAATGTCTGTAGCACTATAAATATTTAAGCTATGACTACGAAATTTTGTGCAAGTCATAAGGTGCGTCGGTTAATAACCTAAGTAACCGACACAATTTACAAGTTTATTGCTATATTTTCTGTCATAAGGTGTTCAAAAGCGCTTTTTTTGTAAATGTTTATTAGTCCCTCAAATCTTTGAAAGCTTTCAACTTTATTGATATGCATAAGAAATTGCATGTCCTCCTCTAAAGTAATAAAATAATCCTTTAAGTATTCCTTGAGAAATTTAAAAAAAATATATATATATTTAGTTTGCAAAAACTAAATGTATATATATTTACTATAATGGAGAGACGCTTTCAGTTTTTGACACAAGGATCTGTCCAGACATTTTGTGAAAGGTCCGTTTTGTAAAATTGTGTAAAAAATTACTCGTAATTTGTGAATATGAAATAAACGTTAAGTCACATTCGTACAACCAGGGTCATGCTTTTGTGAATTTGTGCAATAGTGTCTCGTTATTGCAAAAAAAATTTCAATGAGTTTTTAAATTGTAAAGACATACAAAATTATGCTCAACACTGTAAAATTATAGTAAAAAAAAATGAATTTTAAAAAATGAAAAGTAATTGCTGCTACTAAATTAGAGATGCAACATGCAAATATTTGGCATTTAGCCTATACTGCTGAACGCAAAATATTCATTTCGGACGAATATGTCTCTCCCCCCCCCCTTCCTGGGAAGGGTTTATTCGATTAACAAAACAATAATGAAGCTAAACAAATTTGTGAAGGGTCTGATTAAAAGATAAATTATTTTGTGAAGGGTACATTTTTAAGTTAAAATATTTTGGGAAGGGTCCGCTAACGGACCTAAATTTCTTGTAAACAGACCCCTGTATTATATATATATATATATACGCCGGTATATTAATTAACATTTTACATGCCGGATGATTCTGTTCACTCATAAATACTTTAATAAATTTAATAGATTGCTTTAATTAATGCTTTTACAAATTCCCTATGATATTTTTTATCTCTATGGTGGAAAGCATATTTTAACATAAAATTAAAAATTATGTTTTGCAGTCATAATATTTTATTCATCACGTTTAGCAATTTTCATTTTTGTCAACAGCAAAAAAAGTACCTTCTATTTTCTTAGTACCTGAAGATTTTGTTCTATTTTTTTTAATGATTCTCGAGTTGTAATTTTTTAACTCGATAAGTTCAAAAAAATTAAACAGCTTATAACTGACTAGACATTTTTTTTTGCTTTGGAAAATCAGTTTACCCCATGAGTAAATACATAAAAGCCCACTTAATGCATATAGTTTCATAATACATTATTTTTTAGATTTTTTTTTCTATTACAGTTGGGAAATTCTGATCTCCTTCACTATAGTGATTTCTTGAAACATAAGCTGTTATTAATCCATCTCTAAATATGAAAATCTACTATTTAAAATATATTCTTAGTGAAGACTAAACTAACATTTTGTAAGTATGTGCAAAGAATAAGTATTATATTTTGAATTGGATTAACTAAGGTTGCTAAGACAACGCTACAAAGTAAGTGTAAGATTTTCAGAATGATTGCGTTATTGATCGGTTTTCATAGTAATATTCATTACCTAGAAAAAAGTAACTTCACCACTCTCATTAACTTTGATGGAATTTTTGTTTCTTTTTTAAACAAATATGACTGATAAGTATTTTGTTTTTATAACTTCATTCATATTATTTGCGGATTCTCAACAACGCCCCAAGATTGGAATCGTCTGAAAAGGTCACCAAAATTTCTCGGAAAAAATAACTTACATCGACTCACTTTTTGTAGTAGAGCACTTTTCTGAAATAAAAGGAGACACATTTTTTTTAAAGTTACACCAAAAACAGCGTAGAATTCAAAAAACAAAATTTAAAAACTTCATATTTCCATAAATATTAAAGTTAGACTTACGAAATTCTATGTAAATATCGCACATAATAACCTAAAAAATTAATAAGAGATAAGAATTTATTGTTATATTTCTGACAGAGGTTGTTCAAAAAAAATTTTTTTGTTATTTTTATTTTGTTCGTGATTTATTTTTGGTCCCTACAACCTTTGAATACTTTAAACTTTATTGACATGTATGAGAAATTGCATGTCCTAAAACCCCTCTAAAGTTTTGAAATAATCTAAGTATTTCTTCAGAAATTAAAAGAAAAAAAATAAAAACTGAAAATGTCTCTTCACTTATAGTATAGTAGTGTGTATATATTTATAAAAGTCTAATCAGACCTGTACTGACTTACTTATCAGGAACTTGGACAGCGAGACAAAAAGATGAAAATACGGTAACTTTGATAGAGTTTTTTTTTAAAAAAAGCAAATAAATTTATAGGTTTTATGTTTTTCGAATTTTATTTATATTAATCACGGGTTCTCAACAACGATCCAAGATTGAAATCTTCTGAGAGAGTCTCCAAAACATCTCGGAAAAAATATCTTATACTGAACTGAACTGTATCAAATATCTGGGCATCTGAGGCCTCTTGCGGTCCTTTTACCATTCATCTTTAACTTAAACTTCGTTGTGTTTCGATGAGGTGGTGGAATGCAAATGAGGTAAAGGAGTATTTATGTGGTTCATAGAGTTCTGACTTCGTAGTTATATGCAGATAAGGTCATAATGTAAAAACATAAGGTATAACTTGAGCTAAGCTGATATGATGAAAATGAGGTTATATATGCTATTGATGTCGAGAATATGAGGCATCACTGCAATAGTATATATGCCGCTATTGGTCTGATGTTCTTGTCTTCAGCTAAATTTTCATGTAGGAATATTTCTTTGAAATTTGCTACAAAGCAAGAGGTTGCTTTTTCATAGAATTTGATATTTATTTTAGCTATATGTTCGTCTATTGCATTTATTTTGAGGTCGTGGTGTATTGTGTCGTTTCTTACGAACCACCTGGCTAATATGTTTAGCTGAGTTTGTGTTATATTTGTCAAGACTGGTGAGGCATATATAAGGATGAGGCGGATCATGAAAAAATAGAGAAATCCTTTGAGTTTTAGAGCTATGTTTGATTGATAGAGTAGTAACTGCATGTTGCTTGTGCTTTGCTGTTTATGCTTCTGATGTGATCGTTCTAGTTGTGTGAATTTGCTATTAACCCTTTCGCATCGACTGTCACAAATACGTGCCAGCATAAAACCGTATCAATCAGGGTAAAAAGATAAAACTGGTAACATAAGTAGTTCTTTAGCAATTTATTTGTGGGCGGGGTTATAATTGTTTGATTTATTTAATTCACTATTACTTAGTTCAAAATAAAATTATTTAGTTATACTTTGAAGTAACATTTATTATATCTATGATTAGAACCGCGATGGCTCAGGGGATAGAGCGTTCGCTTTTCAATGAGGCAAACCGGGTTCGATCCCAGCGATGGCTGGTCGATACGAATTCCGCATCCGGTTTGCACCGACCACAGTGCTGAAGCGAAATATCTTCAGTGGTAGACGGATCATGGGTTAGAGTCCCCTTGCCGTCAGGCAAATCGTGGGAGGTTCTCGTGGTCTTCCTCTCCATGTAAAGCTAATGCAGGTTAGCTCCATCAAAAAAATCCTCCACGAAGGCAAATTTCCCCCAATACTCGATCCAGGAGTTCAAACTGTAAAAAATTATTGTAAGAAGTTGAACCATGGAACAGTTTGTAATTTAAGTTCGTTTGTAAATCTACTTTAAGTGGCTCACGACTTTTTATTTTTGACATGTGTATGTGTTGAAAAAAAATTTACTAACGGAAAAGTATGTGTATTTAAAGGTTGTCCTCAGATTGTAAATCTGATTTTAATTGTCAAAGTTAAAAATTAAGATGGGTAAGGTGTCCAAGCAGCATCACGATTTTTAAAAGCTTTGATCACTGCGTTTCAAAATACTTTAAGAACTTTGAAATATAAATTTTCTTTCGAAATTGTCAAATATTTCTGATGCTTTCTAGTTTCTGTGACTTGTTGTAGATAGCATTTTTAATTGACGTTTTTTTTTCTCTTTTTTATTCATTTTACATTCTTCAGTTTTTGTTTTTAACAATTAACAATTTAATATTTGTTTTTAACAAAAAAAATTTTAAAGAATCTTTATTTGTACTTAAATTTTATTTTGAAAGAACACAGACGAATACAGCGAATCGCTTCGAACGTTAAATAACATACAAATATTTTCCATATGACGAAGTGGTCGTCACCGTATATGGAATTTTACAAAAGTTTATCGTTTTAGTTTTTGTCACTTTCGGAGATTTTCAAAACTTTTTTTTTTCAGTATTTTTAGAATTTTCATGCTCTATATTTTGATTTTCGTCATTTTTTCAGAGCGTTGCAGTCAAATTCGGAAAATAAAAAAATAAACAGTAAAAAACTACTTTTCACTGAAACATTGCGATTATTTGAAACTATTAAAATAAATCACCGAATGGAACAAAATGCACCTGACTTTCAGCTAATTTTGGAAAAGTGAAAATTACATGAAAATTTGACATTACGAAATGCATAACTTTAAAAAATCACGGAATTGTTCACGCAATAGAAATTAAGTACATTTCAATGCATATGTAGTCTCTAAATTGATGAATTATTTACCGTTTAAAGCATTTTTTTTTACACATTAAGAATTAATAATTTTTATGAATTTTGATTTTCTAGTAAGAGAACCGTACATTTTTTCGAAAGGGAAAAAATAAATAAACAAATAAAGAAAGAAGGAAAAAAACATCATTTGCAGTGAGACATTTTTTTTTCATTGAAAGTAACATAAGTATTGTTATTTTAAATAACTTCAAAATTCTGATCTTATCATGTGTTTTAAACAGTTTATATTTCTTGTTATAACAGTTTATATGTATTTAATCATTTAACAATCAATTAAATAACTAAATTTATTCCCCACAACGCTAAAAAATTATATGTATTTGTATCATTTTGGTGCATGTCGAAGCAGAAACATTAAAACAAACTAAAAAAGAATGTGATTGAATCGACAATTATTTGAATCACTTAAACAATACTTTCATTTCATTCGTTAAAATAATTCAACTTTGATTTAATTTTATTTAATAATTAAAAACAAACAATAAATATTCAAATTTATTTTTAACGCCCCGGCATCACTAATCAAGGCAGTTAAAAATAAAGCTTTTACTATTTATGTATATAATATTTAACTTAGAAACCATTTATTTGAACCATACAACATTCATTTCATTTGACTCGTTCGATTAATTAAACTTTAATTTTATTTATTTTAAAAATTATGCGTTTACAAAAATATTTAAATATATTTTTAACCTTCTATCATCAGCGATCAAGGGAATTAAAAATGAAGCTTTAGATTTATCTATTATTATTTACCTATTACTATTTATGCATAGATATTATTCAACTATTAAAAAAATTTATTTAATCTATTAGCGAATTCTTCCATGTGTTTCGTAGAAGCAATATAAATGTTTCTTTATTTAAAAATTATCTGTTCACAAAAAAATATTAAAATATCTTTTTAATGTTCCGCCATCAGCGATCAAGAGAGTTAAAAATAAAGCTTTTAATTTTTCTATTATTTTTTACCTATAACTATTTATATATATATAATATTCAACTTTTAAAACATTTATTTGATCCATTAACAATTTCTTCCATTTGTTTCATTGAAATAACATGAATTTTTCTTTATTTAAAAATTATCCGCTAAAAATAAATATTCAAATATTTTTTTTTATTTTTTATTGTTCCGCCATCAGCGATCAAGTCAGTTAAAAATAAAGCTTTAGATTTATCTATTATTATGTATTTATTCATGTGTATCTATTATTCAACTTGTAAAACATTATTTGATCCATTAACGATTTCTTCCATTTGTTTAATTTATATAATATAAATTTTACGTTATTCAAAAATTATCCGCAAATAATAAACATTCAAATGTCTTTTTAATGTTCCATCATCAGCTATTAAGTCAGTTAAAAATCAATCTTGAGATTGATCTCTTACAATTTATGCAATGCAATATCCCATTTTAAAAGCATTTACTTGATCCACTAAATATAAGTGTCATTTGATTTTTTGAAATAGTGCAATTTTTATTTTATTTCATTTTTTGTTATCCGTAAACAATAAATATTCAAATGTTCTTTAACGTTCCTTTAAAAATGATCAAGTCATTTAAAAATCAAGCTTGAAATTTATCTATCATTATTTATGTGAATTATATCCAACTTTTAAAACAATTACTTGAACTATTAAACATACGTTTTATTTGATTCGTTAAAATAATTCAATTCAATTTCATTATTTATTTTTATAAATTCTTCACAAACAATAAACATTCAAAAGTTTTTTTAATGTTCCGTCATCAGCTATTAAGCCAGTTAAAAATCAAGCTTGAGATTGATCTCTTACAATTTATGCAATGTAATATCCCATTTTAAAAGCATTGACTTGATCCATTAAATATGAGTGTCATTTGATTTTTTAAAATAGTACAATTTTTATTTTACTTTATTTTTAGTTATCCGTAAACAATAAATATTCAAATATCTTTTTAATGTTCCGTCATCAGCAATCAAGTCAGTTTATCAAGCTTGAGATTAATCTCATCCAATTTATGCAATGTAATATCCAATTTCAAAAGCATTTACTTGATTCATTAAATATAAGTATCATTATATATATTTTTTAAATGGTACAATTTTTATTTCACTTTATTTTTAGTTATCCGTAAACAATAAATTTTCAAATATCTTTTTAATGTTCCGTCATCAACGATTAAGTCAGTTGAAAATCAAGCTTGAGAGTGATCTCTTCCAATTTATGCAATGTAATATCCAATTTTAAAAGCATTTACTTGATCCATTAAATATAAGTATCATTATATATATTTTTTAAATGGTACGATTTTTATTTCACTTTATTTTCAGTTATCCGTAAACAATAAATATTCAAATATCTTTTTAATGTTCCGTCATCAGCAATCAAGTCAGTTAAATATCAAGCTAGAGATGTATCTATGAATAATTCAAATAACAACAAAAAATTTCATAGCATCCTGGATCATATTGGCTTTTCTAACATATAAATAAAATAAACACAATTCGTTATATACACAATTCGTCGTAACAAACTTACTAAGAATTAAAAATCAAAATAACGGTTTTGCTTACCTTTCTTTTTCAGAAACGTGCATCGTCTGCTTTCACTACAAGGTATGAAAGAAGCTAGTCCAAACGATCGATGTTATGACTCACAGGTAGGCATCCAGCTGCTACTGTGACGTCACGTCACCACGAGGGCCCTTTCCTCACTAAAGTTCCCCCTTACTTCACTATAGGGATTCCGCAAATCATGCTGAACGTTTTGAAAACAACTTCGAGTGTTTCATCTGTGTGTTATCCAAAGTGTTTGTGTTCCAAACATTGAATGTTACAAGAGTCATTGATAATCATAGAAATCATTCATAAACTGATTCATAAATTCATGGAATAATTTATAATGGAATAATGGTTAATCGAGTGTCACTTAAGGGCCCATCTGACACTTTCGATGGACTCTTTGAAACATTTGAAAAACATTTCTATTTGAGTTATTTTGGTATCTAGAATATTTTGTAGAACTCAAAAGAATCGTTTTATTTTCTCAGTATTGATTCATTAATGCCTAGCCACAAAAAGTAGTTTATATATGAAAAACACCGACATAAAAAAGTGTTGGTACAGATTTCAGGGGTCGAAACCTCCTGTTAAAATTTAAATAGTGGTAAGGGAGTTATGATATTTTTTGTTTATTTTTTGATGAAATGGGATATATTAACTAACACGTTATGTCAAAAATTTAGGCCATTAATTTTATATTTAATAACAATTAATTTAAGTCATTAATTTTACATTTAATGAGATAATTTGCTAAGCCATTAATTTTATAGTGACACAATTTCAAAATGATATAACATAAGAAATATATATTGTATTTTATATTCGTTATGTTATGTTCTTAATTTTATATTAAGTTCTAAAAATGATTGCTGCTGTGCTATTTTTAAATTGAAGTGAAAGGCAATAATTAAGTATTTTGTTAGCGTTAATTAAAACTAAAACTTTTGTTTAATAGTTTAAAGTAGATTGGCTACCACTTTCCAGTTTTTATTTATTTTTTTTCTCTTTTTAAGGAGATTTCAACCCTTGATATTTGTTTACACTAAATGAATATTTCTTACTGTTACTTACCACTTTATTTTTTAAAAAGGAACTGAGTAGGCTCCAAATACATATTTAAATTAAAAATTTATTGTAGTAAACAGAATCTTCTTTTATTTAAGCAAAATATACCTCAATAGAAACCATTTATTTGAACCATACAAC